GCCTGGATTTGCGTTTTCTCTCTCTCTCTGCTTGCCGCTTTTCTTTGGTGAGATTCCTTCGTCTTTGCCTTTCTTTTTCACGCCTCCAGAGTTTTTCCCCTTCCGAAAAAACTCTTTTACTTCTGGCCTTTCTTTTGGCTTCATCCTCCTCTGAGCTTTCTTTCGACATATCGATTTCGGAAAGGGGTTCCATCGTAAATAGAGTAAATATAAATATAAATATAAGCTTGAATAAATAAATTATGTTGTTATCTTTCGGTATTTCTATACGTAATAACAGGTGTAAAAACGTTTTTTACAAAAGTTTAATAGCCGGATTTACCTTTATGTGTACCCGGATGTTGCAACGCGTCGACATTCCCGCCAAAAAAAAAAGATAATCTAACCAGCCAATCGGGATTCTTGCGTACACGGACGGACGGACGGACGGAAGTGACGTCAGCCAAGCCATGAAAAATCAACTCGATGGTTTACCATTTTTTCTTAAGTATGGGGCCCGCGCGGCAGCTCCGCTAATAATACAAGGGTTATAATATAGTGATTGACGTAAGTAACTTAATGACGTATTAAGCTCCTCCCATAGTGATTCGGAATTTCCGGTCATGACCATGCCCACTTTTTTGACGTTTCCCCTTAGAACGTGGTGTTCCCGCAACGTAGTAAGCATCATTCTCAGACAGGGAAAAAAATCAACATTAATTGGCCAAGTCGTGTCCACCCTAGCAGATTTTGCGAAACCTTCGCCTGAAGCTACAGGTGCTAGTTTAAACTTTCCCAGTCTAGAAATGACGTTGCTAGTCTCCTTCCTGTTTCCCCTTATCGATGTTGTGTTTACCTATTTTATTAGCCTCCTTTAAAGATTCTGAGTTTTGTGAGAAAGTCTCCTTGTATCGTTTAAACCTTTTTCATATTTATTCGGGGTCTAGGAGAGAGTTTGACATGGGCTTCCTGTCGAGAAGAGGTTCGATTTCTAAAGCCCTAGCGTATCAATCCCAGCTATGCATTATCACAAACAAGTAAGAGTTTTCTCAGAAAAAGGTACTCTTCTCCTCAGTTTCAAGTTCGCAATTTGACATTTGACAGGTTTTTGAGCTGGTATGGGTGTTACATTATAGTGTAAAAGCGGTTTCTCCAAACGTGTACGATTTGGGGTTTTGAATTTGGGAATTTTTGAATCTTTGAGGTTTGCGTTTTGGGTGTTGATCGAGATAGGATGGTTGGTCTTCGATATGAAGTGTCTCAAAAATTCACCATTATTGAAATATGATAAAATATATGGTTCATATAAATCGTATAAATGGTTCATGAGCTAGGACTGCTGCCATAATTTATATATGAGTACAGTGGGACAAGAGAAAATAGTTTATTTTTAGTCCTCGCCATGAGGGCGAGAGGACTAATTGTTTTAGTCTAATTCGTCCAGCGCAACCAGCACGTGTCATCCTGATTGGACTGCCTGTGCATTATTCAGTGTGCGTGAACTAATTCGGACACGAAAGGATTTGGCAAAAGTATACCACGACAGGAACGAGGACTATGATGCCCGACGATGACAAGAGCACAGTTTCAAAACGGTTTTTCAAACGTGCGCCGTCGTCCTTACTGTTACGACCTCAGTACAACGTGAACCATCTTAACTTGTTGTAGTCAAAGCAGCAGCGGTCTTGCAGGGCACCTAAGCCATAAAGACAATAAAACAATAGCCGAGAACAATGATTTTGGAGCTAAACAATACCCTGCAAAACCAAAACCCTAACCCAAAAAACAATAAAGCTTGCTACATGCGGTGCAAGAAAAACACAGTAAAGGTTTTTATTTATTTATTGTAGCAGAGTTAGTCACAGAAAAACTGAAAAGCTGAAATATATATTTAATAAATGCTCGATAGAAAAGTTACGTTTTTGATGTTGTCAAATTATGCGTTGCCATAGAAAAGTATTGCGGTGCAAGGTAATTGGTGATTGATTGGCTATATCATGATGATATCGTGCACGTGATTCGCACACTCGTCGTGACGTGGCATGTGTGTGTTATATCTGCACTAATTAACTTTATTGATTCCCTCACGTTTACTCCCCCGTTGAACCTATTTCTTGGCTCGACTGCAAAAAAAAAAAAAGTAACAAAGGCAGATACATAATGATTAAACTATGATAAATCAGCAATTCTAAACATATTCTACTTTGATTAAGTTAACCTGGGTTACAGATTTTTATTAATTGCAGATGATTGAACTTGTTTCCTTACCGTAAGATATACCACATGCGGCAGACGACAGATATAAGAACCAGGATAGCGAAAGCACCGGCAACTCCAATAATTATTAAGAAGTTAAGCCGTCGACTGAGAAGGAGCGCTGAAAAAGTACGTTTAGATTATATTTATCTCTTCACTTCATTGTTATAATAATTAGACATGAAAATAAACACTCGTAAGTTTGTAAGTTAATGTGACGCGAAGTGTCATGTTGCTTGGTTGCTTTTGTGGCCATCATCCTGCTTGGATATTCGTATACACTTATTTTAATAAAGTTAGTCGCCTGAAAAGCTACAAGGTTAAGACCAACAAGGATTATGGGTAGTTACATTTTACATGTTTCAACCACTTTAATAACTGTTGATGGATTTTAGATCTTTTAGCAGTTACAGTCTCACCTCTTCTGAGCATCCTCAAGCTGCAAATTGTATCAAAAGCTTTACTTGTTAGGTATTAAAAGTTTCCCATGATCCTTAGTGATCTCAGCTTTCTAGGTTTTTTGGTGACTAACTTTATTGAAATAAGTGTATGCTTCACCTAAAAGATGATAATGGGTTACCAGAAGAAATTGCGAAAAAGAAATCCTACTGTTGAAGACAAAAGTGACATCACCAAAGACAGATTATGAGGGCGCGTCGGGAAGGTTTCAAAGCACATGTTCTGCCCTTGAACGATTTCTTGCGAAGAGTGGAATGTATATAACTCATGCCGGAGTTTATTTGAATAATTCGTGGACCAATTCAAAGACATAACTTATCCTAACCGTGAATTGTATTGATAATATAATATATGCAAATAGCTTTGAATATTGTAGTTGGTGTTAGTTAAAGAAGGGTCTCCCAATAATTTGACAAATAGTATTTGTTCCTCTATATATTGATATTTCAAATACAACATTACCTTGTGCTTGCTGCTCCGTCATGCGATCTGAAAGATAGTAAAGTACTTTATTTAGCCACGAATCATGAGTGATAGATGGGTTGAAGATAGTGGAAGATAGACTGATGGGATGAAGGATGGATTAGTAGAAGATGGGATAGAATAGGTGAATAAATGGATAATGGATGGTTAAATAGAATAATGGTTGGATGGAGGGGTGAAAGAAATGATGGTTGGAGGGAGGGGTGAACGGAAGGGAGGTTAGATAGAGAGGTGAATGGAAGGGTGGTTAGATGGAAAATTAGATGGAAGGATGGTTGGGTGGAGGGATGGAGGGAAAGATGGAAAGGGTGGTTGGATTGAGGGATGAATAGAAGGATGATTGAGTGATTGAATGGAAGTGTGGTTAGAGCGGTAGGTGGAACGATCGATAGAAAGCTGAATGGATGGTTTGTATCATGGATACGTGGTCCCGCGGAAGCGCTCTTACTTGGGTCATCGTCCTTGATGGTAACAATTACACACTTTCCTCCTGACGTAAGAGTCGTGTCGTGGTCATAAGTTCCAATGATGACTGAGAAAGTCTCATCGTCTTCTTTGTACTCGTCGTCAACTAGATCGACGCTTAACGTCATGTACACTTGATCTGGAAGGAATGTTCTATTGACTTGGTTCTGTGGCTTGTAGTCTGATTTATCAACTGCTGAGCCGTCTTTTGTACTAAACCTGTTACACCAAAAATACAATTTTATAGTTCAAAACCGCTAGAAGTCATCATAATTGGAGTGTAGATAGAAATGAGTAATTATCCAATTATAATTTTAGTCTTTTTCCTTGTAGGACGGAACGTTTTCTGCAGTCTTTTTTTCCTTCTGCTGTTAAGTTATGGAATTCTTTAGATTTGCAAATTAGGAATGTGGAATCTCTTTCTATTTTTAAGAAAGATATCTGTGACAAGTTTCTTTCGTTGAAATGTAATAAACTATTTAATTATTCTATTTCAAGAATAGCGTCAGTTCTACATGCTCGATTAAGGTTACAAGCCTGTGCATTAAACGAATACTTGTTTCAAATCAATTGTTCTTCCTCTCCCCGATGTAGATGTGGAATTGAAAAAGAATCAATTATGCATTTTTTCTTTAAATGTCCCTTATATGCTGCTCAGAGAAATTCTCTTTTTACCTCAGCTGCATTGATTTGTGGTAGTTTGTGGCAAGATGTTTCTTCAAAAATGCAAAAACCTAATTGGTTTTTATATGGCTGTAGAGACTTAGACTTAAAAAGAAATCATGAACTTTTCACTGAAGTACAAAAGTATATATTAGCTACAAACCGTTTTTTGTTCACCAAAGATTTATTATTTTTCCATTTACTGTTTTCATTATTTCGCTTTTGCTAGTTTACTTTTCTTTCTTTGTACTGTAAATATTATGGATGTGAGCCCCCTAGTTAAGCTTTACAGCTTTTTGGGCAAATGTTTAGTAAAAAATGTTTAAATAAAAAAAATGAAAAAAAAAGAGTAATAGTCATTGTCTTACCAGATTAAAGAAGCCTTGTTTAAGACGCCTTCTCTTTTCAAAGTTAAATAGACGGTTTTGTTGCCCTCGCTGACCTCGATGCTCTGGTTACCACATCTGATAAAAGCTACAATGAAGTGATGCACAAGAAAATATAAAAACACGTACAAGAATGAGTTTCTCGTTATCTCCCTTGATTTCCCTTGTGCTTTGTTGATTCCCGTCATAGGCGTATAAGCATTTTTTCCCACTCACTATATTGAGGCAGAAAATATGGACTGAAAGCTTTCTCGCAAAGGATGCCTCCGATCCAAATCTATATACAAGGTGTTTTCTGGTCTAGCGGCTTTCTGGCTGAAGTGACAAAGTGAATGACAAATCGCGTGTTAAGTCCTAAAAGATGCCGGCTATAATGAGAACCACAATCGAAGCTGAAGACCTGTGCGAAAAATTCTCCTGAAATCAGAAACTTTCTACGCTTCCCGATTTTAAGAGATCTCAACCTCCCGCACAGTCACATTGAGAAAACAGTGCAAGGCGCCTTCATACTTACTGTCATCATCAATAATAGTAAATTCGGTACCAGGACATATTATGTGTACCCTGTCATCTGATGACGTCACAGACAAGCTAAACGTCTCGTCAGGTTCCAGGACGTTATCATTCACCAACACCACATTTTCTGTTAAGCTGGTCTGGTAGGGTGCAAATGTTAAGGTTTTATCGATAGCAATGTAGTCTTTACCAGATTGGGCGGTGCCATCAATCGTACGGATTCTGAAAAACAAACATTCACCATCAACATTCTGCGTGAGAGTGTCCAGTTTTTCACAGCCTTAGATTGTTAATTCTAAAAGGACCGAACAGACAAATGGAATACTGACACACACAAAAATAGCAACTTATTTGTCTTTGCATGCACCGGCATTCGATATCATTTTAGGGCATAATTACATTTTTATTAGAAGTACTATATAGATTGTCTATAATAAAGATTTTAAACCATCTCAGACAATATCAAGAATTATAACAAAAAATAGATTGATAGTAAAAATATATCCAATACGTCAAAAGCCGGCCGGATCTAGCTACCTGCTTGGAATGTTTTTGATATTGCAAGCCATACCTTATTGTGTGGTTGTATTGCAGAGATCCTTCTCGCGTGAACTCCATGAGTACAGGACCTTGACTGTTCTCGTAAACCCTCTGATGTCCTCTCCGATCTCTGCAGAACATGTTTACTAAAATGAAAGCAAGCATTCAAAGATCAATCATTCGGTCAGTCATCAGCCAGTCATTATAGTGTCACTCGAGCTTTTGAGGTTATGGATACTAATGATATGCTTATTTGTGCCATTGCTTTTGTTTTTTTAGGACAGATCAGGACAGAACTCTTACCGTCATTGCTGACAATAGTTACAGAAGAAGTTTTACAGTCTGGGAACTCGGTACTTCCATTAACAGCAGTCAATGAAAGCTGGAACGTCTGGTCATCTTCTACGAGTTTATCGTTGACTATATTTACTGAGATATGTTTTTCAATCTCCCCAACAAAGAATGTCAAGCGGAGATTAAGAATCGGTTCTGCGTAGTCCTCTGGAGTAATGGCGGTTTGTGGTGAAGTGTCAATGCTATAATACAAGAACATTAACATAATTTAGATGAGCAGGCTTTGTGCCAAAATTGCTCATGTGATTACTCATTTCCCGCCATTTTCCCTGTCACGTGATCGTTGAATGCGCAGGCCACTGAAAGACTTACGAATATTGCCCAGTAGGTATGTTGCAAAGCAAAAGCCTATGATCAACCAATAAGATTGCGAGTTAGATTTTTAGATTAATGATTAGTTCTTAATTAACCATGAACCCAAGCTCTCAATCTTTGATTACCAGGGGGGTGGGAATGGTGAACTGAGAAGAGTGTCATTTTACCGAAGGTTTGAAATTTTAAAAATGTTTTTCCTTTAAAGGTTATGTTGTCCATATAAAACTCGGAATTTACCTTCACCGGTAAGGTTATCGTTTATTGTTTGTTTTTTTTGTTTGTTTGTTTGTTGTTGTTTTTTT